CAGTTGTGATGTGATTTACCAAGTCGTCATCCAGAAAAAATTTTAATCCATGAAAAGGGATGCATTTTATGTGTTATATCAATTTTGATCCCGAAACTATTAGCAAATGAAAATATTGGGAGTACAATGTCTCCGTACATTCATGAGATGGGCGTGTCAGGCACCGCACTCGTGGTAGGTAAATGTTCATGATTACTGTCTTGTGGATCATTGTCTATCACTGTATTATTGTCACTATCAACTTCATCCAATTCAGGAATCATTATTTCATCGCCACTATCATCATCAGAACAAATTTCGTTCACAACATTTTCCAGCTGGTCTGTAGGAACACGAAGACACTTGCTGCAAGAAGACATGGTGAAACTGAATGAATGTGAAATATTTTCTGACCTTTTCCTTCTCAGAGGGTTCTGACAGTAATATAGACCCCCACAAAGTTTACAAGGGTTCTTTACAAACATGCACAAAAACTATCATATATATGTCTTTGGTTGATGAGTGCCAAGAGAGCAAAGAAGGGAAGAGATTGTCAAAGCGTTAAAACACGCCAACGCCAGGGAACAGCTGGCATCGTCCGGGCGTTAAAACACGCCCGCGCCAGTCAAAGAGTTAATACACAAAGTAACCTGTGGAATTTTCCATCCCTGTGACATACTAAACCTTCTATAGATGTTAATGGCAGTGTATTCTTTTTTGCAGTTAACAGTTACAAGAACAGATAAACATGACAAGGAGCTTCACACATTGGCCAATTTTTGACTCTTGAAAGGGTGTGGCTTAGGCTGACCTTTCTACACATCAAGGAAACTTTGGATGATATAACTTTGAAGAGGACCTGGCCGAATCCTCCTAAATTGGATTCATACAACATATCTTGTTATCTCGTGTAATATAAAAATGAACATTATTGTTAGAGGTTATACAGGGTGTTCAGTCAAGGAGGATACATCGCAACACCATTGACTGGGACCAATATTCCTCACAGATTGCTGCTTAACTGTAAGAGTACACATTTATCAGCTCTAATGGCTCATTCTGCTATCAGCAGTTACAGTAGCAATCTGTGAGGAATGTTGGGCCGGATCAGAGGTGTTGCAAAGTTACGTCCTTAACTGAACACACTGTATAACATTAATATATCAAATTGTTATTTAATAAATGAAACTAACTTGATTGTTAGAGCAGTATAACATTAATATATCACATTATTATTTAATAGATGGATGAAACTAAATTCATTGTTAGAGCAATATAACGTTAATGTCAAATTGTTATTTAATAGATGTAAGTACTTTTTTTGAATAAATGTAATTTTATTAAATGTATTGTTTTTTTTATACATGGATTTTTTTGTGATGTTGAAAACATATCTTCCTAAAGTGTTCCTTTTTTAAGGTGGCTCAACAAAATTATAAAATTAATTTTTAGAGCCATATTTGTCTGCACCTCCTGCAAATGACCTTGAATGTCCTTTGTATCTGTCTAAGTTTGATTACTGAAGTGTATCCATTTTGTGTTAGTCTTGGATTGAAAGCGCTGGAGGATTTCACTGTTGGAATTGATGACTGCCCCCCGTAGCTGAATTGCACAGGTCCATATGGGTTTGAGTACTGTTTTGTATAGGGGGAGTTTGCTTTAGAAAGCCTATTTTTGGCTATGCTTGTTTGTGTCTTTAGTTAGTAGAACATAGTTCTTTCTAATCTCATCTGTAGAGATGCTTTGACACTTTCCATGACAGTGCTTTTAATTGTTAGGCCTGATGAAGTGTCAGAATTCTGTAATGATGGATTTTGTGATGGTTCAGTTTGCATTATGAGACTAATTTTCAGAAGTCTTCTGTCTTGATGGAAAGTGTTGTTAGATAATCCACTTAGAAAGGGNTCGCGTATTGAGACGAGACATAGGGATAAAAAATCCTGAACAGTTTTAATATTTTTAATATTTAATATTTATCAATATATATATATACGAGTATATATATATATATTAAACATATATTTTAGTTATTTTAGTATGAGGACGGCAAGGCATGCAGTGAAGTAGTTTAACATAAATCGAAAAGCACCTGAAGATGGCACCTTTGTAACGAAACATGTAGTGCAGGAGTGAAGAGTGAGGTGGATGAGTGTATGCACTGTAAGATGGCTGGAATAAATCATGGGCATAAATCAGTGCAACAGGACGCTAAAATATAACACTGAAAAAAGGAGAGCAAAATGTTGGCTTTGTTTCAGCATAAACATTTTCATAGCATTCTTAGGTATGTATATTGATATACTCAAGCATAATTTAGATGCCTAGATTTAATTACTCAGCTGTTGCTGTTGTCCACTTAAAGAAGAAGCGGTAATTCTTGTTTTTCTGCATTACTCGGGGTGAAAATTAAGAATAAATGTAACAGTTTACAGTCCAGTAAGTTACAAACTATGTAATTTCTCTTTTCAGTGAAGTGTACAAAGCCAGGGACAAGAGGGTAGGCAATAAATTTGTGGCTATTAAGAAAGTTTTAATGCGGTCTGGTTATGAAAGAGTAAGTACAAGTTTAGAGTGAAACATTTTTCTTAGAAATGAAGGGTGTAGTATGTGACCTCAAGGGCACTCATTCTGCTGGCAGATGAATTTCATTAAAACTTGAGAAATGCCATTAATTCGTATTCATTCCAGTGCATGCATGTCGTCATGCAAGGGTGAAAGAGGAAGTCCCTGACGCCTCAAAATTGGGACAAGCCTGCTAGGGGAGATAACCCCAACAGAAAACATTTGTCCTTTAGGAATTCTGGGGATAGGGCGCAGGCTTAATAACCCTGTGCCGTAAAAATCACTTGTTAAGAAAGCTCAAGAAACAGCTGGCCAGACCACTCTAAGATGACACTGCAATGTGGAAAGATCTAAGGATACATGGCATTTTACTTGGAATATACTGTCGCCATTTAGACCAGGTTCCGTTAGGTTGCTTACAGGTGTCCTCTCAGACTGCAGAGCAAGAGTGCTTGTAAAACCGGAAGGGAGAAGGCAGAAAAGTAGATCAGGAATGAGGAATGAGATGGATGGATGGTGTGGAAAAGGATTTGAGGAACTTGGGTGTAGTTAACTGGAAAACCAAGGTTCAAGCGGGGGATGGCTGGAGAAAATTTGTAGAGCAGGCCAAGACCCACAAAGGGCTGTAGTGACAATAGTAATAATAATTCAGTATTTTTAATACTTTGTTTTAATATTTGAAGACTCTTAATAAGGTTTAGATGTTTGTTTTGGATTTTGGAATACAACTATATAATCTGTGTGTATGAAGGTGATTTGAAAAGTGAAAAAGTACATCACATTTTTCCATTTTATTTTGCAAAAACTCAGGTGTACACAGTAGAGTGTGAGTGAGTTATTTGGTGAATTGTTGTGTTTGGCAGGAATTATTACAGATATATATATAGATATATGTTGTTGTTAATGACATGTATGTATATATATGTTGCAGCTCACCATCATGACCTTGCATGAAATTGACATTTTTAATCAACTGAAGCATGACAATGTGGTCAACCTGATAGAAGTATTCAAATCCAGAGGTTTGTGTATACTTTATTCTTTGAACTAAAACTGGAGAAAGTAATGTGTACAGTTTGTTGTTTTTTCTTATTTTGAACAAAATATTAATCTGTCAACATTTTGTGCCATTGTATTCTTTTCATATAGCCCTACTTTCCATGTGTAATGATAAAAAGGATAGGCTTGTGTGTCCTCTTGCCTTGTATATGTAATTTGTTATTATCTTTGCCAGGTACTCAGTACATGTATGAGACCAGCTTCTACCTGGTCTTAAGAGTTCTGTAAGCATGACTTAGCTGGCCTGTTTTCTAATGGTAATGTGATGATTACTGTGGGGAAAAGAAAAAACCTGATGCTCCAGTTACTACGTTCATAGTAATAAGGTATGTATAGAGAGTAAGGTTAGAATCTCAGAGCTCTGTGAATCTGACATAAGAGAATCAGAATGCAAGTGACATTTATCATAACCAATTGTTGAATATCACACCTGAGAATAGCCAACAAGCCACCACTTCAGTGCTGCAGTGCACATCAGAAATGATGGTGCTGTCATTCACTTAGCAACTAGATCTCTTATAAAGAGACCAAGAACTTGCCTCAGGAAAGATGTTGGCCACATGGAGAAGTTACTGTATTGTTGCTTCAGTAAGAATTGTAGAACAGTAAACTTTTTTCTGCTCATTTCCATGAACAACTTCATATATCCATAAATCATCAGTATTGAGAAGGGAAAAAATAATCACTCTTTATTTTTGACTTGTAATCTTACCTGAATTCTGACGGTGTTTGAGAACAGGGTAGTGATCAGAATATTTGGACTGAATAGGAATGAAATGTCAGAACTTTCAGAAATTTGCATATGTGGCTATTCATACGTTGTACCCTTTGCCAAGTATAAATGGAATTATGAAGTCAAGGAGGATGAGTTGGACATGTCCTGTACCATGCATGGGGCAAAGATGAATGCCTGTATGCCTGTAAGATTTTGGTAGGAAGCCAGAAGGAAAGGGACCACTAGGAGGACCTAGACGTAGGTGGGAGGATATGATTTTTTGTTCTTTTTTTTTTATTTTGAATAAAATATTAACCAACAATTTGTGCCATTGTATTTTTTCTTCTAACCATACTTTCTTTGTTAATGAGGATGGATAGACTTATGTGTTTTCTTGCCTTGTATATGTAATTTGTCATTATCTTTTCCAGGTACTTGGTACTAAGAAAAAATCTCCACCAGTCACACTAGACGGAACTGTTTAGCTTTTCGTGGGAGGATAGTTTAAAATTGGATCTTTGAGGGATAGGATGTGGTGGTATAGACTGGATTGATCTGGCTCAGGATAGGGACTAGTGGATGACTCTCTTGAACATAGTAATGAACCTTTGAGTTCCATACTATTTTGGGAGATCCTTGAGTAGCTGAGTGGCTGGGGGCTTTACACAGAATTTCAAGAAACTTCTCAGATGCTGTACATAACTCTACGTAACTGTTTTCTCAAGTCTAAGTGTTCTACTTTGCAGCCTGGTTCATCTCCTTTGAACTCTACATATGAATGCCATTCATCTTCTGTATTCAGCCAACCACGTACTATTCCTTCTGGAATGTCACACTTGCGGAAAAAGATGGTTTATTAATTTGCATTCTTAACTCTTTTTGATAATTTAAAATTTGTCTCTTTTGGTTGTCATTACTATAGCATTAGTCACGACTTAATGATTGTTAGTAGAGCGTGGTGGTTTTAGTGACTTCTTGGCAGGTCAGCAAGATTTTTGACCATCTGTGGTCAAGAAGGAAAAAGGAGTGCTTGTTAAATTTTTCTGTTTGAACAAAATGATTCCAAGGTAAGAGAAGCCTGAAACAGACCTTTTGTACCATGGGACTCAGTTCATTTCCTGTCAGTTCGAAAGCAATCAACTTCAATATATTGTAGTATTATACAAAATTGAAGCCTGCCACACACAGCAAAACTGTATTACTGTTCCTTTAGTCTAAACCCATCTCTGCTGCTCTATAATTTACTGCACACATCAACATGTATGTGCTGATGTCTCTTCAGATGGCTCTGCATAGTGAATGACTTATAACATACATCACATCAAAATGGCTTCTCCCCACTATGTATGCGCTGATGTCTCTTCATATTACTTTGATCACTGAATGACTTATTACATACATCACAGCAAAATGGTTGCCCCCCACTGTGTATGTGCTGATGTCTCTTCAGACTTCTCTGATAACTAAATGACTTTTTACATACATCACAGCAAAATGGTTGCTCCCCACTATGTATATACTGATGTGTCTTCAGAGTACTCTGCTGACTGAATGACTTATTACATACATCACAGGAAAATGTTTGCCCCCCACTGTGTATGCGCTGATGTCTCTTCAGACTCCTCTGATGACTGAATGACTTTTTACATACATCACAGGAAAATGGCTTCTCTCTGCTATGTAGGCATTGATGTGTCTTCAGGGTACTCTGCTGACTGAATGACTTATTACATACATCACAGAAAAATGGCTTCTCTCCACTATGTATGCACTGATGTGTCTTCAGACTACTCTGCTGACTGAACGACTTTTTACATACATCACAGCAAAATGGTTGCTCTCCGCTATGTATGGGCTGATGTCTCTTCAGATGACTCTGCTGACTAAATGACTTATTACATATATCACAACAAAATGGCTTCTCCCCACTATGTATGCGTTGATGTGCCTTCAGATGACTCTGCCGGCTGAATGACTTATTACATACATCACAGCAAAATGGATTTTCCCCACTGTGTATGTGCTGATGTGTCTTCAGACTACGCTGCTGACTGAGTGACTTATTACATACATCACACATAAATGGTCGCTCCCCACTATGTATGCACTGATGCCTCTTACAGCTGAATGACTTATTACAAACAATGCAACAAAATGGCCGCTCCCCGCTATGTATGTGTTGATGTGCTATCAGAACTTGCTGTTCACTGAATGAATCTCCACACTCATCACAGGAATATCGTCGCTCCTCACCATGTACAGGTTGAAGTTCATTCAAATTACCCTGGAAAATGAGAGTAAATAACATGAGAAATCCTAACAAGAAGAGAAATAAGTCTGAAGCACCAGTACAGTGAGATATTAAATTGGTAGGTGTGAGAGTGGTGACAGAGGGGGGAGGGGCACCCCCTTGTGTGGTGTGCCTGAATCCATCAGTATGTATGGAGTTTTCTGAGTCAACAGACATTAACCATTAGGGGACGGGCCATATAAATTCCAGTAGTGGCAGCGGGATGGAGTTAATTTAAATGCCCGCAATTGTAGAGTAATAAAAATTGTAATCATGTTACTGAAAATGTTGTGATTTCTGCAATTTTTGTGATAAACGAACAAAATAAACGCTGCTTTTATCTTGAAAAAATATAGGATCAGATACTGTAATTTACAGGTTTTAGAATCTGTAAAAATTGTTACACTGGTTCCAAAAAAAAAATTCCCTCAATTTCGAACATGTCCACAAATATGCATACAGTTTCTGCACAAAACGTTTCTGCTGTACAAATGCCTGCTGCTGACATCATTCGTACTCTCGTTACTATCTTATCTGCAAGTGGATTGGTAGCTTCTGTTTACAAAACACATTCAAGTACTGGATCTTCTTTGTATACACAAGTGTGAATGAAGAAGATATCGCTATAGTATTCTGTCCTTGACAGTCTCAGACTGTTTATATCTGAGACAAGCCGCACAGAGATTCTCCAAACTGTATAAACAATACTGCCAAAACTTCCAATCATGCGTGGTGTAGTTGAATAAGATATCCAGCATGGCCTCGTATCATTTGGAAGAAAATGAAATTCAGAACCAGCTGCTCAATGACACCAATTCAGACTGTGCCACAGAAACCTCACAGAGCAGTGAGGAAGACAGAGATTTAGAAATTGAAGCCGACGAAGACCCATCATCTTTGTCGGCAACCTGGGGACAACCACACCAGTATGGCAGGAGGCATGTGAATAATTATTCAGGTGGAGCTGTGGAGTTAAATATCAATGAAGCTCCACAGGTAAATAAGGATTCCACCCCTTTATGCGTTTTCATGCTATACTTCGCAGGGATTATCCGTCTCCTGGTGGAAGAGACGAATAGATACTACCACCAGTACCTAGACAAACTTGAAGACGGACCTTGTCTGCGGCCTGACGTGACCGATTCCGAGATGTTTCTGTTTCTAGGAATAATCATTCAAATGGGACATGACATTAGAGACAGACTAAAGGACTACTAGTCAATTGCAGAACAATTTGCCACGCCTTTCTACTCTAACACAATGAAACGTGACCGTTTTCTACACATCCTTCGTTTTCTTCATTTTGCAGACAACAATACAGAAACTGACAGGAATGCCAACAGTTATGACCGACTATGGAAAATTTGGATCATCTTTGACACTCTCAACGACGCATATGAAAAATATTGTGACATGTTGACCCCTACCTCCCCAGCTGCACGTAGCGGTAATGTAGCGCTCTCGTAATAGGCGAGTAATCACCCCGCAACTCTCCCTGCGGTGACGTCACGAGCGGAGCCGAAGTGAGCTGAGCGGAGCCGATGTTAGCCGAGTCCCCGCAACCTTGAAGCTATGCAAAGCGAGTCAACAGCGGTGACGTCACCGAGGGATATCGCGGTTGCTAGGCAGCAGTCAATAACTCCGGACAGTGTGGCTAGCAACACGGCACCAGACGACAATGGTCCAGACCGAGGCTACATAAGGAGCAGCGAAGGCTATTCACAGTTAGTCCTGGAGCTACCTCCAAGTCGGTCCTCGAGCTACCTCCGAGTTAGTTCCGAGTTAGCCAGCAACTAGTCAGTTGTATTCTGGCATTTGGAGTGTACTATTTGTGATACTGCAGATAGCAGTAATTGTAAATTTGTAATTTGGGTGATTGTAAGTGCGAATGTGAAAAAAAATTCGCTATATAAAATACGGCGTGAAGTTATTTGTCACGTATATACCCAAACACGCGACAATATTATAACCCTTCCGAACATTTGGCCACAGACAAGATAACTGTTAAATTCAAAGGGAGGGTGCTTTTTAGGCAGTACATTCCTAAGAAACACAAACGTTTCGGAATCAAAATCTTCAAAATTTGTGTCGCCGCTGGGTATACTTATGACATGAAAGTTTACCTAGGAAAAGACAGGACACGTGCCAGCCAAGACGTGACAGCGACACATGCTACAGTTAGGGACCTATGCAGACGTATTGAGGGCGTAGGTCACAAACTGTACATGGACAATTTCTTTTCGTCACCACACTTGTTTGAGGAACTGATGACAAAGGACATAATGTGCTGTGGGACACTCAGACCTAATTGGAAGGGCTTGCCTGACGATTTTCGATGAAGACAATTTCGACTGAAGAAAGGTGACATTCGTGTTAGGGTGAGACAGAACTTGACAGCAATAGTTTGGAAGGACAAACGTGACGTATACATACTGACAAACATGCACTGTCCTCCAGCAGAAGGCAATTTCTGTGATGAGCATGGAAATGCCATCAAGCCAGCAATTGTTGCTGATTACAACACGCACATGGGTTATGTCGACAAAGCGGACAGAATGGCAAACAGTTATAGCATCAGTCGTCGGACCTGGAAATGGACAAATAAACTATTTTTCCATTTCCTGGATATGGCGATTCTGAACAGTTTCATCCTGTTGTCATCCTGTGGCGCGAAATTGTCACACAGAGAATTTCGTCTCGCCCTTGTGCGCAACATGCTGGAACATGCTGCAAGGGGTCCACCTCGCCCTCAACGGTCCATGGGTCGATCTCCTGCTGTATCATTGGCGATATCTCAATTAGAGGAGGCCTCTCGACATCATTGGCCGACTTCCTCTACTACGAGATTGAGATGTCGTGTGTGCTCTTCGGGTAGGAAAGGATGTTGCATCCAGACAAAATGCGTGAAGTGCGACGTTGGACTATGCATTTCCGGATGTTTCCAACAGTTCCACACGAAGGCAACATTCAATTAGATGGTGCATGAGGGGAGACAGACTACTTATAAAGCTGGTGTCCAAAAATAATGTAAGTAGAACAAGAATTTCTATCTTAAAATTAGATTTTAAAACAATGTGCACACGCATGGACTGCGCATACCCATACGGTGTCTTTTGGCCACTCGGCTTTACTTTAAAGGTCCCCATACGGTGTCCTTCGGCTCATGAAGGTTAAGCTGCACTGCCAATGTTTAACAAATTCCAAATTAAATTAAATTATGCGTTTGTAAGGCTGGACAGGCATCTAATTAATAGTGGATAGGTTCCATATGTGAAATAACAATAAAGCCTGAGCTATAAAATGATACTAAGAAAGGCTGCATATGGCCCGGAAAAATCCCCCTACACATGACAGTATATAT